TAATGTAGTTTGGAACGACGTTCCCGTTGCTACTCTGAGGTGAATGCAAGGAAACTTCTCGTGTAAGGGTTGGCTGTTATTGGTCAGCAACGCGCCACCAAGTTGCCGCGTTGCACGGACCATCGACTAGGCTACCTGGTGAACGGTTCAATCTAAGTCCGTCTTACTGACACGCATGACGATCGACGCAGAATCACTGGCACTGACAGACGACCAATCTGACTCGAACCTTGCAGCCACCTCATGAGGTAGGAGGACAGTTTGTTCACAAGCATCAATGAATCGTTTTAATGAATCCATTGGTAATCAGCAGTTCATAAATACATTTCTTCACACTTTTTTTGCGTAGCATGATCGCCGACCCCTTTACGGACTGCGTAATTCTTGAACACAAAAATTCCAAGTGAATTCTAATTCTAATGTAACGGTAATATTTGATGCGTTTTATCTGCATGATTGATTTATCACAGGTATTTACGGCATGGGATTCCCCTATTGTGCTCGAAGGAGACCCTCGCCAGTCTCACTGTTGCTTAAGATGGAACGAAATGGATTCAAGAATTCAAGGCGGCAAATTTCACAAGTGCCATTTTCGCAGTTGGCATCATTCTTGACAGGTCTCACGGCGCTTACAACTACACTATCGTCAGTATAGCTCACGCACACAAGTAATTCGATTTCACTGTAGAACTCACAACCGAAAAGTGCCCGGTTCGAGCTTAAAAGCTTCGTCTAGGCCATTCGCCTTTCTTCCTTCTGAGCTTAATTAATGGGTACCAATCTGAGCGAAGAAAACGTGTCTTGGCACGTAGTTGCTGGCGACTCTGTCGTCGAAGCGTATAGCACTTGCGGGCGGTTGATGACGTGGAAACGGAAACAGCCCCATGGTGAAGATGTACTGACGTACAGACTTTCCAACGTTTTAGCACTTTTCTTCGCCCACCCCTCCCCTCGCCCCGCTTCACTCGTTTGAGGAGGATAGCACCGGCGATGCGGCGAGTAACGCAAGTTAAAACGGTCATGAATCACGTTCCCTGTTTTTACGAACGCCGTTGAGCGAAAACGTTATGAAGTTCGTAAAGGCAAAGAATAACCAGTATGTTTTCTATCTGTAAGGCAAAGCATTCGATTTTTTGCTCGTCTTCACCCAGCTGAACCATAACTGAACCGGAATGACGCTTGAGATCATGCGGCGTAATTAATCGCCAAAAACAAGCCGACAGCCGGCTGTCGTTCGACTGTCATGCATCGTTTCTGAAAGTTGAATTCCCGCTCCAGTTCTTGCCTGCAGCCCGACATATCATGTTCCAAAGTTTCTGTACGCGCTGCAGTTTAGCACGTGATGGTTCCGAGTTTTTGTTTTTCGCGCTTCTCCGTTCGTCCTCGATTTCACCAGAGGAACAAGTGGTTGGTCGCTCGGTGCGTCGGTGGCCATTTTTGCCCTTTCGCACCATTGTCTCTGGGAGGCGATTAAACACTCAGCTTTCACTCATGTCACTTAATCACTCCGATGACAGTCGAAAAACTTTAGGTCCCACTGCGAGACGGCACGACGTTCGGAACTCGAGCAGCTGCGTGATTTCATTTTGTGAAACTCGGTTCGACGCCGAGCACGTGAACCGTCACGCCCAGCGCCCACTGCCACCCCTATCGTTCCCACCAACTGGTGCAACGTCCGACGGTCCTTCGTCCGTCCTGTAAACAGCTGCAGGTGCCTGACCAACGAAATAAGCAATCGTCGCGAAGGCAGTGCTTGAGGTGCGAGGCAACCTTCGTTCAAAAACAGGTCTGTACTTTTTTCTTCATGGCCTTCACCGCGACGGTCCTCGTCATTTCCTCCCGTATGCTCGACTCAGTTATCGTCGTCTGAGGGTCAGACGCTGCTGCACTCAATATTCAACTCGCTTACCTACGGCGTAGCTCTGTACCACCTGTCGCTCGGTCTGATGGTCAGCTGTGAAGTTTGTGTTCAGAGGTTCACCTCCATATGTTCATCTTGTGTAAATCTTAGAAATTAATTTACCAAAATGAATTGCTGAGCGGTTTCTTCAAGTACAAAAGTAGAAATGTACTTACTCGTCATAAAAAAGCATGGTCATATGCCACGGCGCTGAAAATAAGG